GGAATTCAACTTGGATAACTGTCGGAATAGCCTTCAATTAACAGATCAACATAGGCTTAGTAATTGGTAATCTTGATTCTATCAAACCATGTATTTTTCTGGCACCCTTCAATAAATTTCTTAACAGGAAGGTATTAGTGCAATTAAAAAAACCATATGATTTTTGCACAAATTCAATTACTGAAGTATGTAAAGCAGTTGTACTTGGAGAGAATCCCACTTCAAACAAATCTGCCAAGAAATTTAAGATAAGCTTTGAAGGCAAAGGAAATGTTGGAGATACTTTTTTGTTTTCACAAAACTGTACAAATTTATTCCATGCCCTTAAATATGACGCTTTCGAATTGGGTGCTAGAGAGTTAGAAATTAATATTGATGCAGTACTAGTTAGAGTTTCAGTAATTCTGGATCCACCATCTGAGGCTTGACATCCAAGCCAAGGAGCCCAAGCCCTTGCTTCCTGAAATTTGAAATGGGAAAGATAATCAGCAACCAGATTGGATTTGCCTGCAATATGCTCAGCACGAATCAATATGTTAAACTTAGTTGAGGTCAGAACTAAACGCCGCATTAAAGACATAAGGTGGGGTGATTTAGAAGATGCTTTGTTCATAAAATTAAACAACACATTCATTATCTGATAAGAAAAGTTCCTTGTGATTTCTGAGTAAATGTCCCCATGTTTCTAAGGCAAGCACAACTACTACATGAAACAACTACATGACGTTAATACTCAATTGTTGCATGGCTGGAGGCCATTCCCCCCACAACCACTTACTGCCAAAAACTGCGGCATAACCTTTAGTTGTAGCCGCATCAGAGTATAAGTGTAAGGTGTCTGATCTCAACCATTCATCATGTAAGAACATACAAGCCCCATTGATACCTTCTAAAAATTGTAGCCACATTTTTAAATCAAGTTTAGTTGAATTGGTTTATCTAATCTTATAGTAATATTTTTGTACATTAATTGTCAGGTCATAGAGACATCTCGAAGAGGTACGACCAGGAACCACTACTAATGTGCAATAGAAGACCTAAAAGTGACTGCAATTCCCTGAGTGTAAGCTTATGCCTTTGTATAGCATTTCTAATTGCAGACCTAATCTTGTCAAGTTTGACATTTGGTAAGCGAATCATCATTGAAATGGAATCCACCTCGATTTCATATAAGGTTAACTTAGTTACAGGACCTTCTGTTTAAGACGATTTAATGGGAACATTCAAACATTCTGCCAAATTAAGAAAATAAGTCAATGATAAAAGGCATTTGGAAGAATCAGAAGGACCCACAAAGAAAAAATCGTTGATCATGTGACTCATTTGTGCTGAATGCTTAGATTCCATAATCCATTGAAGAGCTAAACTGAATCGTTCAAAAGTTTGACAGCTAATAGACAGTCCCATTGGCAAGCACATGTCAGCAAAATAATATAATCTGCCATTCAAAGGAATTGAAAATCCAAGAATCTTAGCATTTTTATACGCCCACATGAATATGTGGTCGTATATTGTTGTCGCCCCTGTCCGTCGGTCCGTCCGTCCGTCCATCAACATTTCTTGTGAGCACTATAGAGACTACAGTTTTTATCTAATTTTGATAAAACTTAGTGTGATGCTTTAGATTGATAAGATCTTGGTCAAGTTCGAATATGACATATTTTCGATGAACGGTTTTTGAGTTATTGCCCTTGACTTTGTAAAAGCGCGTCAAAATTTGTTATAGTTTGTGAGCAGGATTGTAGCTACAGTTTTCATCCGATTCTGATGAAACTTGGTGAGATCATTGGAATTGATAAAATCTCGGACAAGTTCTAACTTGACTCATTTTCGATGAACGGTTTTTGAGTCAAAATTTGTTAAAAATAGTTCGTGAGCAGGATTGAAGCTACAGTTTTCAACCGATTCTGATGAAACTTGGTGTGATCATTTGAATTGATAAGTTCTCGGACAAGTTCTAACTTGACGCATTTTCAATGAATGGTTTTTGAGTTCTTGCCCTTGACTTTGTTAAAACGCGTCGAAATTTGTTAAAAATAGTTCGTGAGCAGGATTGAAGCTACAGTTTTCAACCGATTCTAATGAAACTTGGTGTGATCATTGGAATTGATAAGATCTCGGACAAGTTCTAACTTGACGCATTTTCAATGAACAGTTTTTGAGTTATTGCCCTTGACTTTGTTAAAACGTGTTGAAATTTGTTAAAAATAGCTTGTGAGCAGGATTGACGCTACAGTTTTCAAACGATTCTGATGAAACTTGTTGTGATCATTGGAATTGATAAGATCTCGGACAAGTTCTAATTTGACGCATTTTCAATGAACGGTTTTTGAGTTATTGCCCTTGACTTTGTTAAAACGCGTCAAAATTTGTTAAAAATTGGTCGTGAGCAGGATTGAAGCTACAGTTTTCAATCGATTCTAATGAAACTTCGTGTGATCATTGGAATTGATACGATCTCGGACAAGTTCTAACTTGACGCATTTTAGATTAACAGATTTTGAGTTATTGCCCTTGACTTTGTTAAAACGTGTTTAAATTTGTTAAAAATAGTTCGTGAGCAGGATTGACGCTACAGTTTTCAACTGATTCTGATGAAACTTGGTGTGATCATTGGAATTGATAAGATCTCGGACAAGTTCTAACTTGATGCATTTTTGATGAACAGTTTTTGAGTTATTGCCATTGACTTTGTAAAAACGCGTCAAAATTTGTTCGTGAGCACAATAGAAGCTACAGTTTTCAACCGATTCTGATGAAACTTGTTGTGCACATTGAAATTGATAAGATCTCGGACAAGTTCTAACTTGACGCATTTTCGATGAAATGTTTTTGAGTTATTTCCATTAACTTACGAATAACGCGTCAAAATTTGTTTGTGAGCACAATAGAAGCTACAGTTTTCAACCGATTTTGATGAAACTTGGTGTGATCATTGGAATTGATAAGATCTCGGACAAGTTCTAACAAGAGATATTTTTGATGAACATTTTTTGAGTTATTGCCCTTGACTTTGTAAACACGCGTCAAAAGTTATTTTTTGCCCTTGATTAGAGCTGTGTGATTTAATTGTTTGTTGTATTTGGGTTATTGATACTGATTTTAAAAAATTTTGTGGAATTACTCAGCATGAATAATTTCTTCAATATGAGAAAATTCGTACTTTAGTCACTTATGACTGTTTTATCATTTCTGACAGCTGCCATTGGGCGTATGTTAACTTGCATCGCAAGCTATCTTTAATGTCAGTTTTAGCCATAAGGGCTCCATGGCCTGATTTTTTAACAAGACTTACTACAGTGTCTATGGTATCATAATTAACCTGAGAATAAATGGAATCTATCTCTGAGTTAATGTTCACGTTTAGGAACAACACCCAAAGGTGAACTATCACCTAAATAACTAGCTTGGTGGGCAACCAAAGCTTTTATATTGGCAGAGGCTTGGTGGGCAACCAAAGCTTTTATCTTGACACTGGCTTTGTGGGCAACCAAAGCTTTTATCTTGACACTGGCTTTGTGGGCAACCAAAGCTTTAATATTGACACTGGCTTGGTGTATAGTTCTAACTATAATGGGTCACATGACAGCCAGCCTTAGATTAAAACCTACCAGTCTACAATACTATCTGATGTGTCGCAACAAAGCATCCCTCAAGCTTCTCATGAAAAGATGGTTTCCTCTTGAAGAGAAATGTACCCCGTCCGGTAAATAAATATGATTATTTGGGCACCATAGTCCAGTATCCAAAAAGAAACTCTTCTGTCACAATTTGCCAATCTATGGCTAAAGGTTAAGATCTTTTACCTTATTTACAAAGTCAGGAAAGGGCAACCTGTCGCATGGTAACAGCTGGCTAATCATGACACATTTACTGCAAATCTTTCTACTAACTGTCTTGCCAAATCCAAGAATTTTGTGCCTACAGCTTCCACATCACAACCGTTGGCAATGTCATTCGATCCTAGGTGCATAACTCAATCCAAGATTCGGATGATGATTGCAATGTAAAAATTCCGATAGATGTCGAATATATGACAAACCAAATATAATTATTTTAACGGGAACATTTTTTTCAACAATTCCTTGAACATTTTCCTTGAAATGGAGCCAAATTCTGTTTTTGACACAATTTCATTTCGTATCTTATTGCGAATTCTTGTTATCACAAAGTGCAACTGACTAAAATTATGTTTTAGCAGAATGCATATTGAATTGGTAATTCGGAAAATATGTTGGCCTACTCGATTCCCTAGGAAGAAAAGGAACGGCGATATTCGAACAACCAGATTCTAGGAAGAAAGATGACCATAAAAAACTTGATAGAAAACAACTTTCTTCTCTGTGTGAAGAAACTTGAATGAAGTAAAACGCGGGAATTTGACTACTTATACATAGGCCAAGCTATGCGCATGTGCACAAATAATTAACTGCGCAACACAAATTATATTATTTGCATAATATTTATTTCTGGATGGCTACCTGATTTGGTGATGGAAGTGTTTTAAAAGAACCAGTTAGAAATGTTCCTAATGATGCAGATGAAGCTTGAATGAGACTTATTGCTCGAAACACAATTAAAAGAGTAGGATGCAGTTAACCATGGATTCGAAAAACGAGTACATCAGTACAACAATTCCATTGATAATAATAGTTGGGGTAATTATGTAAATTGGAAGTTATATCCATTATTCGCTCTATTGGAACACAGAAAGGTTTCCATAGGGTTACCATCTAAAATTCATCTACAAAGAGAAATCAATGATGATAAGATATTTTTTGGAGAGAATGCTTCAAATTCAAAATTAGAAATAACGAATCTCCAGCTATATATACCTGTCATAACTCTTTCAATCGAAGTAGAAACGAGTTGACTAAAGATATTGAAATAGCTTTTCTTCGTCGTAACACGGTAGGTAGCATGACTTAAACTAGAGAATCCACTACTTGGCTAATCACCAATACTATTAAACCAGCAAGATATTTAATGTTTGGTTTCAGGAACTTACCAGATTCTCAGACGAATAACAATAATGTCTTTAGAGTGGCATTGAACCAAAATCAAGATCCGGTAATCTGTAAAGTTCAAGAAAGATTAAACAACGATAATTATCCTAACCAACCTTTAACAATTAATCCATCCACAAAGGATTATAATGAATTATATAGAAACTATAAAAATATGTGTGAATTATTTGGAAATCCACCTCAGTTTGAATATGTAGATTTTGCACTTAATCACCCAATCTTCTGTTTTGATCTATCTGCTCACCAAGAAGATCTTTTCAAAACAGGTGTAAATATAAGCATCCATATAAAAAAAAAAACAAGGAGATAGCAAAACATTTAATTAAAAAAGCAGATAGAAGAATGATAAGAATTGAATTGAAAATACACCCTTAAAAATGAAGGCAGAAACTTAAGTCAGGAAAACATTAGAATCAATTAATAGTGGCAAACCGAAAACAATTACTTATAACGGTAAAAAGATACATATTTCAAAATCAATTATTGACAAATTATGCGGCCGAAAGACGGTCAACACATATTTCAATATTATTAAGACAACGAAGAAGTGGAAATAAAAGATATCTTACAGAACTTCATTAATCAAAAGAATCCATCTTTCAATCCAACCAACATAAAAGTGTAAATGATCTGGACTTAGTAGAATATTCAAAATTTCTACATGCAATTAGAAAGTCAGGATCCGAAACAAAAAGATCGAAAGAAGTTGAGCTATATATAAGAGTTATTAATGAAGATGATGAATATGAAGTTGACTAAGCAGATGAGTATGCTGAAGACAATTCAAACATACAATAAATAAACGAAATCGAAGATATGGTATCAGGACAAGGTATAACGGTTTTTACCCAACAACAACGAGTAATTACTTAATAGATTACAAATAATATTAGCGGCAATGAAAGAAGGTCATCGATCAGACAGACAATGTAATGAAGTAAATTGCTGGAGAAAGATATTATAAATAAAATTGATTATACAAATGTCAGTTTCAGTGTGTTTGCCAGACAATAATCCCCTTCAATATTAGACATAACAAACATAGGAGCAACATTAAATTGAAAAAGATTCATAAAGCTCCTCATATTGCCCCCCATTTTAACCAACCTGGTCATAATTATAAATGCACACTTCTTGAGAAATTTCCAAATGAAAGCAAAAGCAAACTAGAACCACTCGTGGTACTGAGTGGGACTTTGCTCTTGAGCCAATTTGCTAGAGAATCTGAAAAAATCAATGTTCTTAGCCAATTAGGTCACGTGCTAAAGCAGTAAAAAATTTAGAAAATTTTGCTTTTTTGGAAGGTTGTGAAAGCTGAAGTTGAAGCCAGACAAAAAATATGAAAGTATGATTAGATTTCCAAGGTCAATAACCTTTAACCATGTTAAGGGGAAGGTCATTTAAGGTCAACATCACTAGATATGAGTCATCAAACTTTGAAAATACAAATATTATAAAACCGGAAGTTGACGATGAACATCAAATATGAAGGTATTAATCTATAGCCAAGGTCAATTACCTTCGATCCTACAAAGGTCAAGGTCATCAATGGTAAAGGTAAAAAGTTGAAAATATGCAAAATTTAAACCCTGTTCCTTTTTTTGAACTACGAAGTGGAAACAACTGACCTTTTCACACAAAATGGCCAAAGGGGTGAGGTAATTGTATGCAAGGTCCTGTTTTGAACAAATGTATTTTATACAAGTTATACCCCTGATAAAAATGTAAATAATAAGTAATTTAAGCCTAATGTGCAACGCCCGAAATTTCAAAAATTCAGAAATTTCAATTTTGCATTATATATCACTGGAAAGAGTACGATGAGCACATTCAGAATCCATAAAAATTTACCCTCAAAGTTAATTAGATCACGAGCTAGAGCAGTCCAAATTTGCGACTTTGGCTGTTTTTGGACAGCTATAAAATGTCAAATATGAAACATAAACTGATAGCCAAGGTCAATGACCTTTGACCCAATAAAGGTCAAGGTCATCAAAGGTCAAGGTCAAAAATTGAAAATTGTGAATTTCCAGAACCTGTTCCTTTTTTTTGAATTATAAAGCTGAACTAACTGACCTTCTAAGACAAAGTGGCTCAAAGGATGACGTAATTGTGAGCAAAGTTCCATTTTGAACAAATGTATTCTTTGCGAGTTATGCCTTTGGCCAAAATTGTCAATAATGAATAATTTAACCCGGATGTGCCAAGCCCACCTCAATTTTTTTTGCATAGGTTAATTGATATTCAAATTGTGATGCTATGTTCAAAATGTCAAGCTTCTACATAATGCAGGTCAAAAGATATAGGTCAACAAAAGTCAAAAAAGGTCAAAATCGAAAATTGAAAATATGGAAATTTTAAAACCCGTTCCTTTTTTGGAACTATAAAGCTGAAATAACTGAGTTGTTAACACAAACTAGCCAAAAGGATGAGGTAATTGTGTGCAAAGTCCCTTTTTGAACAAATGTATCTTATGCGAGATATGCCCCTTCCTCTAAATGTAAACAATTAGTAATTCAACCCGGATGTGCCACCTCAACTTTTTTGTCATAAGTGAATTCATATTCAACATGTCTAGTTGTGTTCCAAATTTCAAGGTTCTACATCAAGTAGATCTTAAGACATACATACACCAAGCTCAAAGAGACATAAATATGGTAAAAAACCACTCGAATTTGAAAAAATCAAGAATTTCAATTTTGCTTTAAAAGTACGATTGTTATATATCACTGGAAAGAGCATGGGAAGCACATGAAGAATCCGAAAAAATTGACCCTTTAGGTTATTTAGGTCATATGCTAGAGCAGTCCAAAGTTGCGAATTTGGCTGTTTTCGGAACGCTATAAAACCGAAAGTACAGGTCGGAGGTCAAATGTCAAAGTATCAACTGATAGTCAAGGTCAATGACCTTTAACCCTATAAAGGTCAAGGTCATCAAAGGTCAAGGTCACGAGATAGAACTTGCAAAAACTTCAACCGGAAGTTGCAAAAAATGAAAAGCGAAATTCAAAAATCGGCTTCCTAGTTTTTGTTGGCAATTGATTGTAGATTACATACACATCAAAATTATACGCGCCCATTTCTTCATAGAGGTCCCATTTTTCGATTTATAAAAGTGTGTTTTTTCAATATGGCGATCAAAGTATCACTTCCGGTCTGGATTTTTTTTTCTTCGTTTTTTTGTAATAGCATTTACTTACGAACAACATAAATTTCGTTGACCTATTTCAAATACACCGGAAGTTATTCGACCGGAAGTGGATTGTACTTTCAATTGATTCCCTGTTTAAAACCGGAAGTAAACTTAAATATTTCACAAGTACATATTATTTACTTTAGTGATGCCCCTTTGCATATTAAATTTCAGATCAATCGATGCAAAAACAAAACAGTTGCAAAAAAATTGCAAAATTTGATCGAAAAAAGTCAGCTTATGGCTATGCCTACATTATGGTGAATATTTAGTCCTATAGGTCTTGCCGTATTCAGTGTCTCAATCCAATGGAGATCTTGGTCAAGTTCAAATTTGACAATTTTTTGATGAATGGTTTTTGAGTTGACTTAGAGCTGTGTGATTTAATTATTTGTTGTATTTGGGTTAATGATATTGATTTTAAAAAAAATTGTGGATTTACTCAGCATAAATAACTGGCATATATATGTATGAATTCAAACTAATAAAATTTCTTCAATACGAGAAAATTCGTACTTTAGTCACTCAAGACTGTTTTATCATTTCTGACAGCTGCCAGTGGGGTATGTTACCTTGCCTGGCGTTATTTGATTTTAATGAAATTTGGTGTAATCTTGGACAGGTTCAAACTTGACAACCTTTCGATGAAAGGTTTTAAAGTTATTGCCCTTGACTTAGGAAAAACGCATCAAAATTTGTTTAACACAAAGTATGGGCATATATTGTAGTTGCCCCTGTCGGTCCGTCCGTCGGTTCATATTTACCTCGTGCTCACTCTACAGGCTACAATTCTCTATAGATTCTTTTGATCTTTTGTATGTGTGTCAATATCATTATGAAAAGGTGCACTATTGAATTTTGGTGATGATCCAATGATTTTTTTCAGAGATATCGCATAAAACTCTGATTTCGCGTTCGTTTTTCTTTACTTTTTTGCCTTGTGCTCACTCCACAGGCTACGATTCTCCATACATTCTTTTGATCTTTTGTATGTGTGTCAATATCATTATGAAGATGTGCATTATTGAATTTGGTGATGATTCGATGATTTTCTTGAGATATATCGCATAAAACTCTGATATCGCATTTGTTTGTTTTTTTCACTTTTTTGGCTCGTGCTCACTCTACAGCCTACAATTCTCAATGGAAACTTTGATCTTTTGTATGTGTGTAAATATCATTATGAAGATGTGCACTATAAAATTTGGTGAGGATCCGATGATTTTCATGAGGGATATCGCATTAAACTCTGATATCGCTTTTTTTTCACTTTTTTGGCTCATGCTCACTCTACAGGCTACGATATAGAGTTTGTTTTACAGTTCACATTTAGCTCTTTATCAAGCTGCTGGTGGGTGTATTTGCTTGCGAAACTTGCCTATGTTTGAGTTATTGCCCTTGACTTATGAAAAACGTGTCAAAAGTTCACTGTGTGATTTAATTATTAGTTGTATTTTGCTATATTGATATTGATTTTAAATTACTCAGCATAAATAACTGGCATATATATATATATAATTGAATTCAAACTAATAAAATGTCTTCAATACGAGAAAATTCGTACTTTAGTCACTAAAGACTGTCTTATCATTTCTGACAGCTGCCAGTGGGCGTATGTTACCTTGCCTTGCAAGCTATCTTACACATACATACCAAATTTGATGAAATTTCCAAAATAAATAAGAAAGTTGGTAAATTAAGTGGGGGTATGCCATTAAGGAGCTTACATAAGCTTAACTTCTAGCATTGAACAATCCAATCCACCTTAAAGCTTATTTCTTCATCATAACTGGACATACTTAAAGAATATAAAAGGGAGGGTGTCTGTAAAATGAACATCTGGAATTTTGATTTTAATTAGATTTTAAGTGTTGACAGGGTATTTACAATGATGGCACCATGATAAGTGAATGGGGTTTTGAATTTGCATGTAAGGTATATATGTTATAATCACTGGAAAGCTCTCGATGCTAAGATTACCTTTCTGTAAAAACATTCTGGTTATAACATTGACCTCATTAAATTTGCGCCATTTTCAATTGCCTATAAATCTGGAAAATAAAGTTGGAAACGAAAAATGAAACTACCAGTGGATAGATATTGCCTAAGTCATGACAGTTGAAGGCCACGAGAAAAAAGATTAAAATGTTGAACAATTTTGAAATTTTATTTTATGTTACATAGACATTTTGCATATCTACATTACAAAATCAAAATAATTATTGCTATGTCTATATTTGGTACCAAGATACATCACTGCAATGGTTCAAGATAGCTTGCCAGGCAAGGTAATATACGCCCACTAGCAGCTTTGATTTTGAATAAAAATATTTAGCAGTACAGTAACAATCACCAGTATGAAATATTCAACCTTCAGTCATACACTTCTTTTGAACTCTCTAGCACAACACTGAATAATATTGAGTATGAGTTATTTCCTGTGTTCTTGAAAACGTGTTAAATTTTTTGCTCGTGAAAACTGTAGAAGGCAAATATTCAATCTTCAGTGAATAATAAAACCAAGTTTTGTCAAAATCCAGCAAATAACTTTGAAAGTGTTTTCAAGAACAAGGGCAATAACTCATACTAAATATTTTTCAATTCTTCTGATTTTCAATAGGGTTCATCCTTGGGTGATTACGAACACTCACACCAAGTTTCATCAAAATCCCTCAATAATTGTGCCTTCTAGAATGATTACGAGCTAAAAATTGAACGTGTTTTCAAGAACAAGGGCAATAACTCACACTTAATATTTTTCGATTCTTCTTATTTTCAATAGGGTTCATCCTTGGGTGATTACGAACATTCACACCAAGTTTCGCTAAAATCTGTCAAGAATTGTGCCTTCTAGAGTGTTTACGTTCTTAAAATTGAATGCGTTTTCAAGAACAAGGACAATAACTCATACTAAATATTTTTCGATTCTTCTGATTTTCAAAAGGGTTCATCCTTGGTTGATTACCAACACTCATGCCAAGTTTCGTTAAAATCCGTCAAGAATTGTGTTTTGTAGAGTGTTTACGAGCAATTGTGGACCGACGGACCGACCAACGGATATGGGTGACGACAATATACGCCCCCTATTTCATGTGGGCGTATACAAATGGACCATATTTAGACCCAATTTAGTCAAAAGGTCATCCGATAGACAAGGTTACAAATTATTATCACAGTAAATATGAAGGTCATCAAAGGTCAAGGTCATGAGATCATCATATCTTGGATTATTTTATTGGTATTATACCTACAATGATCCTATTTGAAAAAATAGGGTGTTTTGATCTATAGGTATCATGGTTACTATGGCAATGAAAAATGACGGGAAAATTTATGCTATATACTAGGAAACATATTTATCAGAAAGCATTCATATTATTGACTTGACATTTTTGGAAGCATAAAACAGAATGTTTCTGCATACAAATAAGGAGTTTTAAAGAAATTGGAAAAATAAAATCAAAGATATGGCTCATAGAAGTTGAGAGAACGAAAAAAAGGATTATGTGACGTTGATATAGCAACCATATCTCAGCAATAAATGGCATTATGTTTTTCAAAACTCCTTATTTGTATGAAGATTTTTATACTTTAGGTACATGCAAAATTTCAGTTTGCTATCTGTAATAGTTTTTTCAAAAAACCTTTCCCCAGTTTGGCATTTGTTGAAAAACTCATATTGGAGATAATGGCTTTTGAAGATCAAAGATAAGTCACATTATGGCGCATTCCTATTTTTAAGCAATTTATTATGCCGACAGCTTTATGGTACATATTTCTATGCATATTGTTGAAAATGTAATTTAATTCATAAAAAATAAGGCATGTCTTGTAGTTATTTTAGGTGAAGAGGATTGTACATTTGTGTATAAGTTTGTGCATTTGAGTGTGCAGTTGTGCATAACTTTCTATTTCACTACAGGCAGATGATTCATTCTACGTTTTATTGAAATAGTTAATAAAGATGCTTTTTAGATAATATTATCTGTGTCTAGGACCAAGTTGTCAAAGTAGGGTAGTTGAGGCTTTCCAAATATCTATTTATGTGTCCAGGACCTTGGAAGTCTTTGTTGACATAGTAGGGTAATGCAGAAACAGGATTGATTCAGGATAATTAACATGTAAGATGGCTATTATCATTGCCAGTTTCTAACACATGTTATTGGATTCTGAATAAGATAACAAGTAAGAAAACACTCTAGTTTATGTTATTAGATTTAATATCTAAAAACTATATAAAAAAAAAAAAGCAAAAAAAAAAAAGAGAAGAAAAAAAAAAGAAAAAAAAAAGAAAAGAAAAAAAAAACCCCATGAGCAAAATCCCCCTGGTAGATAACTGGCACCTTCTTTAGACTGTTTCTTTCGATCTGACTTCAAAAATTCTAATTCTTTAGATTTCCTTATTTTCTTGAATCTCTCTGTGCCTTGAATTAGTTACTGGCGTTTTCTTTCAGCATCTCTTTTCAAACAAAAGTTTTCAGCATTACAACTGGGGACTAGTCCTGCCTTTCTCCATTACTATGAGTGCTGATGTACTACCTTTGTTGAATTCCATACAGCATAAATTCACAGCATGACAAACAGACTGGTAGCTAGTGAAGCGATGTTTTGGAGCTTGTTTCCAAATCAGTTGGTTGAATGACTCATTTGCATTTTGTGTCGCTCCTCTGATACAACCAGACAGCAGGGTTTTGCTACATAGCTTCTCAAACACTGACAAAATTGCTTATGAAACACGTTGTGGTAGGGGTGCGGTGTGCTCTCCTCTTGAAGGTGTTGATATACCTCTAGCTAGCTGTCTTTGGTACCAACACCAAGATTCTGGACCAGATGGGCATCTGTGATGCTGATTTTCATCATCATCAAAGTAATGAAGGTAAATGGCCCAAGTACTCCGGTACATACCCTCTAAATCTCCAGCATTGTCTTTGATGGCTCTTCCATAATAATTTTGAATTGCCTTTACTCTTTCTTTGGTAAGTCGACCCTTTCCATCTATCGGTTCACCCTGGGCTTTAAGTTTGGTTATGACTGTATCAAGACCATTCTTCATTCTCTTGCTTATATGGTTCACACAATCTTCATTTTCGACGGGATGTTCTCTACCATATGGTCCATTTCCGTCATTAAGAGCTGTGATGCGCCTAAAAACACTACTATCACCATCATTCAGCAAGTGGGTGTACCGAAATCCATACTTTTCAACTGATCGGTTAAACATCTTAAGGGTGGCTTCAGTTTCCATGGATTTAGAGGAACCAACATGGTTGATTTGACAATTGCTCTTGTGATCTTCTAACCATTTGCCATACTCTATCGAAGATTTATCCATCTTGTTCTTGGCAAAACGCAGTAGTTTGTCAAGACTTCAAAATCAAGAGCAAGTCCAGTCAGCAAATCTGTTATAACTGTTACGTTGTACTTCGAAGAAAATCCTCGTTTCTGCCAAGTTCCATCAGAAACTACATCAATATCAATGATATCCTCGTCGTCATAATCTGGATGAACTTCTGTGTACGCTTTACGTATAAGTTTAGAAGTTTCTTGAAGATGATCTTGAGCTGATTCAGAACTAGCTGCTTCTAACTTCTTTAGATGTTTTGTAAAAGCTTCTTTTCCGAGACTTGATGGCATATCAAACACTTTTGAAAGTTTATCCAGATCTGCTTTCCCACCACCAAACTCTTTCATAGCCATAACACACCTTCTGTTAACATCAAATCCTGTTGTATTAGGCCTATTGGATTCATTCGCATCTTTAAGTCGTTTGGAGGTGCTGGCACTAGATATAACAACCTGGCAAGCAGAACAAATCACATCAAATTTAGAAGACAGACCTCTGTTGTTTTCTTCTTCTAAGGCACAATTCTCAAGACTATTGTTGCAGATTGGACACTGCAATTGTGAAATTAAAGATTTTAAGAATGAAACATCAACAATCCTGTATCCACACAAGTCTTCTTCATCTAAATTTTCATGATGGAACTTACTGAACTTCTTCTCAGTAGCTGATTCTTGAAAATTACTATCACCATTATTACTATCAACCACCTTGTCATGTAGATCTAGGTCACTGCTGTCACCACTAACAATAACATCAAACGACGTTTCTAACTTATCAGTCGATCTGTTGACCTCGCTAAGAACAGTTCTGGATCGCCAGCGCTTTCCTTTAAACTTATTCAAGCTTGAAAATTTTTAGATGGCATTTTACATGTAAAATCTAGCTAAAATTCGAGATTTCTGTAAGATTTCTGTCAGTTTCCAGACGACTTCAGGAAAGACGTGAATTCGCGTCTGAGCATGCGCGCACACATAAATTATGACGTATCGCCTTCTGATTGGCTTAGAAATTAGCTATTTATAGTCAGGCCAATGGCAGGATTTGTTTTGGTAAACACTTGCTACAAATTAGGCCAAGTCTTCCAAATATGGATTGAACACGCATTGTCAGCGTGATAATGTATTGTTTATTATCTTCTCAGGCTCCACTTAATTATAAATATGGCTGTGATCAATCGAAAGTACGGCACGTTACATTCTCGTAAACATTGGCCATTTCGAGCAAAAAATCGACGTGAACATGCATAATGCCGTAACGTAGGGTTAGTAAAAAATCAATTATTCAAGAAAAAAAAATAATTTTGGTGAAAACGGTATTTTTTATGCGTAAGAGGAGAGATTTTTACATCAAATAAGCCTGTAATATGTTTTTTTTTCCAAAATTTCGTCATTTTTATTGACGTTGAGCAAATGGTGGCTCTGGGTTCCAATCTCTTTAAATGGGAACAGATAATCTGGGAAAGATCGATGCCAAAAGTTTTGGCCAAGCACCAGCTGGTAGGAAGGATCCTTAACTGTGAATCTAAGTTGTTATCCTTGTTAAATATAGTTGAATTTCTCTTTTTTTCTTAGGTCACCGGGCCTAGCAGTTTGTCAACACGAATAGTGAGACCTGCAATTTTCACCCAAAATACAACACGATTTTCATAACATAAATAAAATGTAATTATTTGTCTTTTGAGTGTACGAATTAGACAGCAAATAATTTCCCATGAAGGGAGATTGATTTTGAGTTGTATCAATTAAGTAACTAAGGACAGTGTTTGTTTGGTCATTCAGCGAGGTGACCAAGCAGCTGGTAACAGGTAATAAATTTGTATTTAAAATTTTTGTTCACGTTGTGTGTAAAATTTAATACTTTCTTTGTAAAATTAGGTGGGTCAGTGAGTAAGATGCTTGCTCGCTAAAATGAAGGTCCAGGGTTCAATCCCGGCATAGGTCGAGTTAATACCTTCGGGTTGTTGGTGTTTATGGGTAGAGTTGAGTTTTTGTCAGCAGCAAGGTCACTCACGCTTGTATCAATAAATATAATATTTATATATATTTTGTTTGTATTCATTTAGTATATGAAGAATAAATAGGGTTGTGTATGCTGGAAGGGGTAGTTTGCAAAAGTTGTCGATATGTCATGGGAAGAAAGTCTGAGCCACATACAAATTATTTGAAAATATCGGCAATTATTCAAGTCATTTTTTAATGGTACATAATATGTTCAGTTTTACTTGTTAAAATTTTTCACATCATTGTTAGCTTTCGGGGAAGGGAGGGTTTGATTCTCCCGAATGTACAGGCCTAGAGTGAAAAGATGCTTTATTGAGAAATTGGGATAAAGGGTCTGAATTCTGGGGTTTCTTCTGTTCTGATCTGAAATTAGAAAAAATTAAAGACTTGCCCAATGTGCGAGAAGTAAAGAAGTACCTGTTATGTATTGACTATTTTTAGTTTGCTATGAACAGAAATGGCATTAAAGTTCTGATTTCTTGAATATGGAACTATCATTTTCTGCTTATAGACATGGGGAAATTTCTCTTGAAGACTCTTATAGTGGACATGAACTATCTTGCTTGCTAAATTACTGGTTGTTTTGAATGGGACAACAAAGGGTGCTATGCCTGCATTATGGTGAATAGATCTTGCTGTATTCAATGTCTAAATCATTTGGGCTTCCAAAGATTGACGGAATTTGGTAGTTTCATCTTTCGGCAAGCTTATTCAAGTATGTTCTTAATGGTATATTATATGTTAGGGTTTGAATTTGCACTCAAACAGGAGCTATTAAAAAAGGGAGGATAAGATTGTGTAGATCAGTCATCATTTTAAAACTGTATAAGAAGTTCTTTGGAATTACGCTTAACATGCTTACAGTTTGTCCAATTAATTATAATAAAACATTACTATATTAACAAGAGAAAAGGTCTGAAGGTCTATGTTGTTGACATGTAAGTAAGTAGATATAGAATGAAGTCATTCTAGAGAGTTTCTGAAGATTGGCAGAAAATACGCATGAAATACCACTGGCTATATTTCTTCCTTTTTTCCTGTGATAAACCCACTTTTATGTTATTTTTGTTAGGTCACATTTGCGATTCAAGGCTCTTGTTTTGAAGAATCTAGAGCTAACATAGCATAAATCCTTTAACAGTGAAAATATTTTCTCGTATGCATTTTATATTTTAAAAACATTGCGCATGTATGATGAAAATGATTGCTTGTGACTATATAGCTTTAACATATACTATCTATAATGATTGTTGCCTGAATGAAAAGTAAAGTTTGTCGCCAAAAATGCATTTTAGATGAAAAAAACAGCGAAGGTCAATTGTGAGAGATTCTAGTGATTGGTGAATGATAATATTTATGTTACTCAAATATTGTAAAGGATGAATACCCAGCATCAAAATATATTGTATTTTTAAGCACAAAGAATTCACAACAGCAACTGGTACCTCAAGCTTTTGGCCAGGACAGATTTACGTTACCAGTACTTAAGTTGCCATGCCCACTAATTCTTGTTACCTCCCTTATATAAACTAAAGATGCTTGTCGAAAAAAGAAAACCCGAAGAAAATCGACCCAAAAAAAAAAGAAACAAGAGCCACACGTGGCACAGAGTGGGACTTTGCTGATGTGGCAAATTGCAGGAGACTCTGACAATATCAACCTTTTAGGTTAATTAGGTCACGTGCCAGATTAGTCTAAAGTTACGCCATTTATCTCTATAGAAGGTTGTGAAACCAGAAGTAGAAGCAAGAAATGAAAGCAGCGAATAGCCAAGGTCAATGACCTTTGACCTTGTAAAGAGGAAGGTCAACAAATGTCAATGTCAAAAATTGAAATTATGGAAATTCAAAAACCCGTTCCTTTTTTTTTGAACTATAAAGCTGACACAACTGAGATTTTAACACGAACTGGCCAAATGGATGATTTAATTGTGTGCAAAGTCCCTTTTTGAACAAACGTAAACTATGCGAGTTATGCCCCTACCCCAGATTTAAACGATTTGCAGTTTAACCCGGATGTGCCACGCCCACCTCAACTATTTTGTCACAGTTCTATTCATATTAAAAATGTCTATTAGTGTTCCAAATTTCTAGCTCCCACATCAAATAGGTCATAAGATATACATAAACTAAGCTCAAAGAGACAAAAATATTGTGAAAAACATTCTAATTTAAAAATATACGAATTTCATTTTGCTTTGAAAATAGAATTATTATACATCGCTGGAAAGAGCATAAGATGCACATTAGGAAACCGAAAAAATTAACACTAGGTCACATGCTAGAGCAGTTCAAACTTGCGAATTTTTCTGTTTTCAGACACTCTTAAAACCGGAAGTAGATATCGGATGCCAAATGTCAAAGCATCAAGTGATAGCCAAGGTCAATGGCCTTTGACCCAATGAAGGTAAAGGTCATTAAACGTCAAGGTCATGAGATATGAGCCTCCAAACCTCGAACAAATTCAACTGGAAATTGCATAAAAGCAAAAGCGAAATTCAAAAATCGGCTTCCAAGCAATTTTGGGCAATCGATTGCAGTTAACAAATACATCAAAACTTCTCATATCCATCTCTACCCTAAGGCCCCATTTTGAGTTTTACAAAAGTGTATCATATCAATATTGCGGCCAAATTCCTGTCCGAATTTGTTTTTCTTCGTTTTTTTGTCTTAAAAATGCCTACTGATCAGCATACATTTCGTTGAGATATATCAATTACACTGGAAGCTATTCAACCGGAAGTTAAAGTCGTTTTCACGAGTTAGCCGGAAGTGATACAAATATTTTGATTAAGGCATTTTTTTTTTTTTGGCGAGTTGTCTACACACATAAATTTTAAGATCAATTGGCAAAAAAAAAGTCAAAAATTGCAAAATTCGACTGAAAAAAGTATGCTATGAATTTTTTAATTTCAAATTTTTTGTACTGCTATCAGTTCGGATATTCTTTGTAGATTCAAAAAATGAAAACCCAAAGAAAATCGACTGAAATTTGCGACTTCTAGAGCCCATTTTGTATTTTTTGCACATGTTTCAATGTAGCACTTCTAGTTTTGCAAAAATGTTCCAATATACATTTAAGGCATACATGGTCAAAAAGTAAAGAATACCAGTTTTTAAGATTTGATGTTGCTGTCACAGTTGAAGCTGTGTGCTCTTTGTAAAATAGACCAAAATTCAGACAGGGAAAATTTCAGAAACAAAGAAATACTAGAGCCACTCGTGGCACAGAGTGGGACTTTGCTAATGTGGCAAATGAAATATCCAAATGTTAAAACCCGTTCCTTTTTTGGAACTATAAAGCTGAAACAACTGAGCTGTTAACACAAACTGGCCAAAAGGATGAGGTAATTGTGTGCAAAGGCCCTTTTTTAACAAACGTATCCTATGCGAATTATGCCCCAGCCCCAAAATGTAAACAATTAGTAATTCAACCCGGATGTGCCACGCCAATCCCAATTTTTTTGTCATAGGTGAATTCATATTCAAAGTGTCTAGTTGTATTCCAAATATCAAGGTTCTACATAAAATAGGTCATAAAATATACATACACCAAGATCAAAATGACACAAATATGGTAAAACAAAACTCAAATTTGAAAAAATCACCAATTTCAATTTTGCTTTAAAAAAGCAATTGTTCTATATCTATGTTAAGTGCATGAAAAGCACATTAGGAAACCGAAAAAATTAACCCTCTAGGTTAATTAGGTCACGTGCTAGAGCAGTCCAAAGTTGCGAATTTGGCGTTTTACGGATAACTATAAAACATCACGCGCAAGAGCAGTCTAAAGTTGAGAAGAATTCTTTGGAAGATTGTTATAACGGAAGTAGACAGACCTCAC